GCACAAGTGATGATGGAAGTGACAACCTTTTTATTACCTTGAATTACTGACAAACAAATGTCTCAATCGTTTATCCACACGCATACTGAATTCTACACAGACACGTAGCAGCCACTCACACGCACACACTCAAACAAGCGCAATGGAACAACATACACTAATACCTACAGAGTTACACGTATGCAGGAAATACCTACTCAGACACACAGAGACGCTACTAAACGCGAGGCATCCTCGCGACATACCTGGGCCAAGCGCGCCTTCATGGTAGCGTGTGCTTTGAGCACAAGGGTCAACGGCTGAGCCAATAGATTGTCGGGTTTGTTATCATTAAGGGCTTTCAATTGGTTCCTGACAAACGCCGCAATCATCTCACTCACAGCAGGCCCGGTGGCGTCCATGAAATCGTTCCAAAACTGTGACAGCCACATTTCAAACACACTCAAGACGTCTCTGCATGAGTTCTGAGTGGATGCGTGTGTGTGTGTGTGTGTGTGTGGACGAAGGGGGAAAGGGAGGGGGGGGGGGGGGCATGAGCGCGTTCATTAACCTCCTCTAATTTGATTATTTCCAAGCTATCTATATTCCAATCTATCTATAACATACCGAGTGTTGAATGTGTGTATGTTGTGCGTGAGGTCTGTGTCTCTGTGTGTATATGTGGTGCATGAACTGTCTATATATATATATAGGGTGAGAGTTGCAGGTGTGTGATTGAGTATATCCGTGCGCATGAAGGCCTCTGAACGAGGCCTTCATGGGTAAGTGTGTGTAACTATGCACGGATCTAGAGGTTTGCGCACACGCACTCTGTCTACACACAAATACGCGTTTATGCACCCACTTCTTCGTCGAGGATAAATGCAAAAGTCAGTGGCATAAACCATTCATATACATCATGTGTAGTTTACTACATACAAGTGTAACATGTATGGTGTTATTTACCAATGCAGATACAACCGACGCTTATGCGGGTTTAACGACATGTCACAGCTCACATACATCAGCGAAATCGGTCCTTTTTTCTAGCCGTCCTTAGCCAAGGAGACAACCGCATGCAACTACTCAAGTGGGTACAGTCTAGTAGAAAGCACACCCAATGCTAACCCCAAATACACGGACCATGACTACTATATGAGACAAGGCCGTTTAAAACAACCCAGAGACCGAGACAATGGCGTGTATAGTGTGTTGTTGACTATGCACACAATCGCCTATCTACCAGCATTTCTTAATCCAACGAATGCATCCGAAGGGGGATTTGAATGCAAATACATACATAGACAAGCTGCATATACATGAGTACAACCAACCAAATCATGAAATACCGTTCCAATGAAGAATATTTATGCATATACATACACATATACATACCCATGACTACAATCTACTGAATTATGAAACAGATACATATATACACATACACGTCCATACCCGGTCAACGATATTAAACAGATACATATATACACATACACATCCATACCCGGTCAACAATATGAAAAAGATACATATATACACATACACATCCATACCCGGTCAACGATATGAGACAGATACATATATACACATACACATCCATACCCGGTCAACGATATGAAACGGAGCCGCCCCCAACTCCCATGCAACGGACGCCAACGCATGCAACGTGTCGTAAACGCTATGTAGATCAGTCCCATCCACCAGCGCTTCACACTCGAACAGTTGAGGGTCAGTCACCCCCACCTCACGCGCCACTTTAAGAAACAGAGACACATTCTCGATCTGAGGACAGGGACAGGGCAAACGTATGAATGGCAAGCGAGAGCACACAGTGTGTAACATGTACAGATGAATGGGAAAGGGTGAATCTGAATCTAAGTGCATATGAATGAGAGAGGATGGATCTATATATGTATACGGATGAAATGGAAAGGATAGATCTGAATTCAAGTGCACAAGAACGGGAAAGGGTGAATCTATATCTACGTACACGTGACATGAATGATAATGAATGGATCTATATCTAACTACAGATAAATATGTAAGGATGAATCTGAATCTGAGTGCCACTTAAATATATATCTAAGTACAAATAAATGGGAAAGGATGAATCTGAATCTATGTGCCTGTTAATGAGAGAGAATGGATTTATATCTAAGTACAGATAAATGGGGAAGGATGAATCTGAATCCAAGTGCCTCTTAATGAGAGAGAATGTATCCATATCTAACTACAGATAAATATTCAAGGATTATTATGAATTTATGTGCACATGAATGAGAAAGAGATAATCATCTCAGTAAAAAAAGACGTGTTCTTCACCTACTATACCTATGTTATATGAGAGAAAGAAGTGTTTATAAAAGTATACCACAGCAACACACCCGTCCCGAACAACAGGCGGAGATGATACTAAACAATGCAGTAGCAACAGCTGCGTGAAATCCAATAGGACCATATTGCCCAACTAAGCCATGGACTGGAAATGTAAATAGAAACGATTATGGAGACGAATGTACAGCCACTGTCCCTGATGGAGGTATTCGTCGCTATGTAAAAGTTCAAGTGCGTGCGTCTACATATACGCGTACCTGATCAATTATTCTCAGTAGATGTACACACAACCCAACAAACCATATGCACTTATATGTGTATATGTGCACGAATGCAAGCTTATCCATACATACAAGCCCACATACAGACCTTCTGCTCCCTGCGCTCTGGCTCGAGTATACAGTTCGTCAGTATTCCGGGGAAGAGCGAATTCATCGCTTGGCACAGTACCACTCCGTCACTCCAATCACCCACCACTGATTTCTCAGTCCAAGATAGATCAAGCAGACTGCATATCCACAGCACAGCACGGCTGCGCTCTTGGTCTTGGTTGTACCGCTATTGGTTGAAATAACTATCAATTAATAGTGCTACACGC